AGTGGCCTGGCATTTAAGCTGGACCTGAGGGATCTGTGAAGTTAGGCAGAGGACTGCTCGCGCAGGTGAGTGCGTGTGTGCGCATGCGCAGGTGTGTGTGTAGCCAGGGGCCAGGCACAGCCTGCAATGCAAAGGCCCCGAGCCGGGAGGCAGTGCCTGGGGCAGAGTGGCACAAGATGAGGTGGTGGAGAAGGCAGGGGCCGGATGGTGAGCCCTGTAGGTCATGCTCAAGATTTTGGAATTTTATCCCCGAGAGTATGTATGGTAGTGAGGAGTGGGAGGGAGGCATTGCACGGTTTGACATGAAAGGATGACACATCAGGGGAGCATTTTTTTAAAAAACAGCAGGGTGGGCTGGTGGCATGGCCTGTAATCCCAGCACTCTGGGAGACAGAGGCAGGAGCATCGCTTGAGGCCAGGAGTTCAAGAGGCTGAGGCAGGAGGATTGCTTGAACCCAACAGGCCGAGGTTTCAGTGAGCCGTGTTGGCCCCACGGCACTCCAGCCTGGACAACAGAGTGAGACCCTGTCTCTAAAAAATAAAAAAACAAAATAATACAAAAGAAAATCCAGCAGGCACGCAGCTTTGAGGAAGAGGATAGAAGTGGCGGAGAATGTAGGGAGTTGGGAGCGGAGGGGCGGGTAGGAGAGGGTTCCAGCAGCATCTGCTCAAGGGGAGGCGGGTTGCCGGGGCTGCGAAGGATGCCGAAGGGGAGTGGATGGTGGGGAGAGCCTGGCATCAGTATCCGCAGACTAGAGGGCAGTAAGCAGTGGGAAACCGGCAGGAAAGCCGGGCCTGGCAGCGCTTGGTTTGAGGAGGCTCCTGGCAGACATGGGGGATGGGGGGGTGAACCCTGGCAAGCATGGGGGGTGGGGGGGTGAACCCTGGCAGGCATGGGGGATGGGGGTGAACGAGAGGGGATGCTGGCCCCATCCTGTCCCCAGCCCTGTCATCCCCCCAGTGGGGAGAGGTGCCTAGAAGCCCACGGTTGTCATGTGAATCTTTCGCGTGGACTGGGGGGTGATGGGACAGAGACATTACATCCATTGTTCATTTGTCCAGACCTTTGTGGAGTGCTATGTGTCAGAAAGCAGGGCAGGGGCCTCCATGATAGTAACACTATAGGAATGAAGAGGGCTGACATTTGCTGAGGCTCCCGGAAGGGTGTCAGGGACTTTAACACAGTGTGCTAATCCTCACACCCTCACACACCCCCCAGCCCTACCTCCCCAATTCTCATCTCCTAGGGTTTCACAGAGGAAGAAACCGAGGTTGTCCTAAACTGGAGCCATTTGGCTAAAGTCACAGGCTTCAAAACAGGGTTGAATTCAAGCCCTAGATTCCGGCGCCCAGGTGGGCCTTTCCCCCACCGGGCCCAGTGGGCAGCTGGGGAGTGCTGTGGAAGTGTTTACCACGGGCTTGGTGTCCAGCAGCTGGGCCTGCCTGTGACCACAGCCCACCTGACCTTGCTAACAAGTCAGGTGGATGGGAAATGGAAGGGAGGGGACAGAGTTACAAAGTGAGTCTCTGGTTCAGTCTCGAGCTAGACTTCCTGGGTATGAATCCCAACTCTCTTATGAGAGACCTGTGACCCCAGGCAAGTTGCTCAGAGTCTCTGTGCTGCTGTTTCCCATGTGCAGAGTGGGAATTATCATAGGAACTGCCTCACAGGATTGTGAGGATTAAATCAGAAGCTCAGCGAAGCATCTGAACAGAGTTTGGTGGGTGGTTTCTGTTTTGTTATTTTGAAACAGGGTCTCCGGCTGTGACCCAGGCTGGAGTGCCGTGGTGCATTCAAGGTTCACTGCAGCCTCCATCTCCTGGGCTCCAGCGATCCTCCCGCCTCCACCTCCTGAGCAGCTGGGACTTATTTACCACTATACCCAGCTAACTTTTTGTTGAGATGGGGTCTCCCTCTGTTACCCACACTGGTCTTGAATTCCTGGGTTCCATCAATCTTCCTGCTTCAGCCTCCCAAAGTGCTGGGATTACAGGCATGAGCCACTGCACCCGGCCAGCTTGGAGTAGTAAGCACTTAGGTCCCAGCTCTTGTCCCCACTGAAGAATGAGCAAGTGTCCAGGGGAATGGCAGGATGCAGACAGGAAAGTAGGAGACCAGAGGAGAGGCATGGCCTGGGTGCTGGCCCTGGACATACCTCTGGAGCCTTCCCGGTCCTCACAATGGGGGAGCAGAGGCCACGTGGGTGCAGAGCCTGAAGCACCGCTGTAGCAGGCCGCACTGCCCGGCCCACCCAGACTGCTCCCAGGCACTTGGCAGGGCACGCGGGAGGCAGGGCATCCCAGAGCTGCTGGGAAGTGACCCAGGAACACTGCGTCTCCAGGAGCTCCAGGGCCAGGCAAGTCCGCCTGGAGGCCGGCCCCTGAAGCTGAGGAGGGCATGGCAAGAAGCATTTTAATGTCTTTTAAACACAGAGCTGGGAGGAGAATACGTGACCTTTGTCCGTTCCTGCCTGGAGCCGCTGAAGTGTGAGTTAATAAGTACAGGAAGAGGTGGGCTGAGCCTGCGGGGGAAGAGCTGTGCCCTAGGAGGGAGCTCTGGCCCGGGGGGCCTAGCCCCCATAGTCTCCTCTGCTAACAGCATCCCATTTCACTTTCAAAAGTCACCCTCCTGGTGCTGCTAGCCGGTCACCATAGTTACCTGTAATGACAGGGATGGCCTGACATTCCTGATGCCATGTCCTGTTTTCAGCCACACCCTGCGGGATTGTCCCCAACCTTGGGGTCAAACCACCTGTTACATTTTAAGCAAAATGCTCTCCAGTGGTTCCCCAACTGGGGTCCCCAGGCTTGCAGTGGCAGCATTGCCTGGGCGCTCCGTAGAGATGCCACGTTTTCAGGCTGCCCCGGCCCTACTGGGTCAGCAATGCAGGCCAGCCGTGATCTGCTTCACAAGCCCCCAGGGGTTCTGATGTGCACTCTGAGGAGAGTCCTGGTAACTCCAGCGGAGATGGAAAGGTGCGAGGCCTGATGGGGGGACGGGAGCGCAGCCGGGCCGAGCAGAGCAGCGCCTGGGCCCAGCTCTGTCAGTCACTGTTTAGCTGGGACTCCTCCTGTGCCTGTTTCATTTGGAAACTGAACACCACAGTGCATCCGTCAATTGATATTCTCAGGACTGGTGTGAAAATCAGCAAGATGCCTCAGACCAGAATTCTGGCAAAGTGTGAAGTTCATCAGCCAGGAATGCCAAGAGCCTCTGTACCCCACCCTTCACCAGTGGCCTGTGACCTTCTGGAAAATGGCAAGGTCTTCTTGGCAGCTCATGATAAGGCAGGGTAATGGCACCAGGGTTGGAGAACCACATATAGAAAGCGGAACAGGCTGCTGTGCCTGAGCCCGGTCCCATGCCCCAGGGGTTTTCCACTTTTGCCAATGAATAATGGGCTGTGACTGAAAAGGGGGGTGACGTCACCTCCTGTGCATTTCCCAGTCCACAGTAGGAGGCAGGGCAGGTGACCATCGCAGCATTTATTTCGGCCCAGCTGCTTCACTCACATCATTTCCATTAACTCTCATGGCACCTCTGCCAGGCAGTTATTTTTTATTTTTTTCTATAGTTTTGAATACAGCCCGGCAATTCTTAATTCATAAACGAAAAGACTGAGGCAGAAAGCGACCTGCCCAAGGGGGCCAGGGGCGGAGCTGGGATTCCAATTCAGGTATCTGAGATCCAGAGCACGCTGTGGCATCTCAGGTCCAAGGGGGTGGGCCACAGAGTCACTGCATAGTAGCACTCGGGAGGTATCACGGAACGCAATGGTAAACAACTTTTTAGTAAAAAGTAAAGCTTCAAAATGTGGCCTATCCATACAACAGAATATTATTTAGCCTTAGGAAGGAAATTAAAAATTTTAAAAATGCAGGTGAACATATGTTTAAAGAAAAATTTTCAAAAGAAATTGTGATATATACTGTGACATGGATGAACCTCAAGGACATTTAAGCAAAACAAGCCAGTCACAGAAAGCCAAATACTGTATGATCCACATATGCGAGGTACCTAAATAGTCAAATTCAGTGAGACAGGAAGTAGAATGGTGGCTGCCAGGGGCCTGGCGGCGGGAGGAATGGAGTTACACCTGATGGGGACAGAGTTTGTTTCACTAGTGAAGAGCCCTAGAGAGCACCGTGATGGTGAAGGTCACACAATGACCTGGGTATATTTACCACCACGGAACATCATACTTACAGACGGTTAAGATGGCAAATCTTGTGTTATGTGTACTTTGCCTCAATTTTAAGAATTGAAGGAAAAAAGGGCTTCAAAGAAGTGGCTGTGCAGCCCACCTGGTCTCAGCAGCTCTCCAGCTCATCTCAGGATTGGAGGCCGACCTTTCTCCTGCTTCCACCTTTTCTGGGAGCTGTTCTCACTGCTCAGTTGAGGAAATGGAGCCCAGATGAGGGAGGCCCCTCCTCCCGCGGCCCCACAAGTGTGGCTGGGATTCCAGCCCATGCGTCTCATCCCCACCTTGTCACTGCACACACGGCACAGCAACCCATTTCCAGGGGACTCCATCAGGTACATTTCCTTAGGTTGATCTCTTTTTAAAAATTTATATTAATACATATTTCTTGAGATGGGGTATCACTCTGTCACCCAGGCTGGAGTGCAGTGGCGCATTCTCAGCTCATTGTAGCCTCTGCCTCCCGGGCTCAAGTGATTCTCCCACCTCAGCCTCCTGGGTAGCTGGAATTACAGGCCCACCATGACGACACTGGGCTAGTTTTTGTATTTTTAGTAGAGACGGGGTTTTGCCATGTTGCCCAGGTTGGTCTTAAACTCCTGAGCTCAAGTGATCCGCCCGCCTCGGCCTCCCAGAATGCAGGGATTACAAAGGTTGACCTCTTGATGTCAGGAGGGGAAAGAGCTCTCCTGATGTACTCCTCCTGGATCCTTTATCCAAACGGCTGTGTTCTGATGGCAGGGAGAGATCAGCTGTCTGCAGGGCATGGTGGTGATACAGACATCATCAAGCACAACGCTGAATTAAGTCTTTTATTCTAGGGCAAACTCAAAAGGGTTTTTTTTTTTGTTTTCTTTTTTAGCAAATCCTAGCACATTATTAACAAAAAAATCTGTACATTTGCCATGATACACTTGAAAGTGAAACAAATAAGATATAAATACAGATATGGATGTAACATGAAAAAGCCCAAAAAAACCCCCAAAAAACAAAAAAAACCCTCCCAATCTGGGGGTGTGGGGACCATGCGTGTGAACACAGTGCCAACAAAACGATTTTGGTGGCTGATATTTTTCAGAGCATTTTTTAAATTTCCAAACATCATTGTTAGCAAAGTCCTGGTGGGATTCTACAAAGTTCTTATTTGCTGACCTTTAAAGTGTAACATTATGCTTGATAAATAAAGGGTGGCAGGGAAAGAAAAAGACTGATGAGACAATGAAGTCAGTCGCATTACCTGCACAGGGTGGTAAGCTAGTGAGGCGCATAGAAAAGGCAGGCCCGTGGCATCCGCCGCAGGTCCGGGAAGCACACACAGTGCACTTGAAGGAAGCTGCGTGCCCCGAGGACCGGCCGCACCCTGCCCAGACCCTGGCTGCAGGGGAGGCAGCAGCTTGCAGGAAGCAGGAAGTCAGACTGCCCGGCCCACAGTGGAGCAGCAGGGGTCCTAGGGCCCTGGCCAGTCAGGTAGACAGGGAGGCAGAGACAGGCTTAGGTGCTCTGTGTTCTGTTTTTCATTGGAACAGGGGCCCTGCAGGGAGGCGGCGGCAAGGCAAGGCAGCTGCAGCTGTCAGGGTCTGGGGGGCGAAGGTGGGCTCGGCACCCTCCCAGTGAGGTGGTGGCGGCATGCGAGTCTCCTCGGCGCGGAGGCAGCAGTTTTCAGATTGAGGCCAAGAGACCTGTGACGTGATTGTATCTCTCTCTAAGTCAGGAGACTGAAGATTGGGCAAGTGACATTCGAGGCTAGCCCTTGGTGAGTACTATGAGGACGTCCAGCAATGTTCGAGATCTTTTCTAAGTACACTGGGACCTGGGGGGCCTTCTGGGAGTCAAAGAGCTCAAGGAGAAGGGTCCTTCTAACTGCATTAGGCATAAAGGAACTCATGGATAACCTAGGCTGACACACATACCTACAACAGAGGGATCAACAAAAGACTCCCTAACTCACTTGTAGAGTGTAAAAGAGAAATACCATTCTTGACATACTAACAAACAAACAGTGTTTAGCAACGAAAGACCTGGTCCTGCTATATTTTGAGCCAAAGCCAGTCAGTGATACCCAATCCCTTGAAATGTACCTCTCAAGTTCCTTAAACAGCAGCAGTGAGGTACCACACGCGTAAGGCGCACACGCGCGCGCGCGCACACACACACACGCACACACACGCGCACACACACACACACACACACACACGGGTCAGTTCCCTGGCTTTATTGTTCCTGGGCATTATGGGGCCTTCATTTTCAGTGCATGTTTCCAAATACAATGTTAGTCTTTCCCAGCTTCCTACAGCCAATCCAGAGGGCCAGGGCAGAGGGGTCTGTGGAAATGACGGTGAGAATCACGTGCTCTGGCTCTCAGCCTCTGCTTTCAGTGCTAGTAGTTGCGGTGGGCTCTGCACCGGAATAGCAAATACCTTATTAGAATTAATCTCAAAAGAAGCATTTTCCTTATGGAAAAATCAGCTCAATTTATAGGATCTAATACAACAGTAAGACACAATAGAAGTCCTCCTGATTAAGAATTTCCATTTGGCTTAAGAATTTTAATCAAAATTTATTTAACCAGACTCCAAACCTCTAGTTACTTTTATTGGAGTGATTAGGTTCTAAAGATGTTTTTAAAGGGGGCCTACTGGTTCCTCGAGGAAGGAAGAGAGACTCTAAATGTGTGTGTGTTTCTAATCCTGTTTTTCTGCAATCTGCAGAAAAATTATTTTTTCCCTAAACAGTGACTATTTCATCAGCAGACATTCAAGGAACTACTTCAGTTTATAAAATTTAAAAACTTGTGATATCCAGTCTCTCTAGGCTCTTCTTTGCTCTTAGTCGCACATTAAATGGAGAATTAAGATGGTACAGATGCCATTTCCCAGATTAACTGAGACGATGTTAGAACTGAACAGCTTGGGGAGAGCGTCAGGGAGAGGAAAGAAGTTGGTGCTAAATGCGAATCACCAAGTAGCCCAGGGATGACGGTCCTGGCAGAACCCCCGTGACAACAGTGTTCCCAAGGACCTCAGCAGTAAAGATGAAAGACTTTTCTTTGATCTTCTGTGCTTCGTGAACTGCCATCTCAGGCATCCCTAAATGATGCCATACATTTATCTTATTTTAGTGACCAGATTTAAACTTGAAGAATTCCTTTGCATGGAAGCTCTGGGGTAGGGACCTCTGTGGAGTTGATTAGGGAGGGCTGGAAGATTGAGGGGATGCACTTCTGATTCTACGCTAAAAGCCAGGGCGGTTGGCCTCCAGTCTGGATAAGACAAGCGAAATTCCCAGCGTTTGTTAAAAGGCCGTCTTCAGACTGTTCTTGCCAAGACTTGATTCCCATTTTTAGTAGGTCTCAGAACGTAACTTAAAGACGTATCACCTTTCATGGTGTCGGCTGTGAACGGGGCCCCACACAGACCATACTCACAAGAAAACAGGCTAAGGAGGAGGAACACAAAGTAACACCCCACCCCACCCCCAAATCTGTTATTAACTGAAAAAAAAAATGCTACTTTCTACCAAGTAGTGGCCAGAGCGCTCTGATTTTTAGAAGCTGCACCCCACACGCACGGCTTCACCATCTCAGCAGGCTGTACAAGACGTGTTTCAGTATGGCTCTTTTCTGCTCTTATTCCTTTTGTTTTGTATGAAGACTGCAATACAGGCCTTGCTTCCTTTACATTCAATACCAGTAAGATTCTACAGGAAAGCTGGAAGGGACCAAAATACTGATTGTAATAAATATTTGTGGGCCTCCTTGTACTGACTGGGCAGCCGATGAAGGGGTAGGGAGAGGTCTCTGAGAGGCACCACCGATTGCTTCTAGGTCTACACAAGAGACAGGCGCTGCTATTAGCTGTGCGTGGAGACATCGGAGGAGGAGCTGCTGTTGCTGTTGGTGGTCTGGGCCCTCTTTATGTACAAGTTTAGTAGCTTCATCTGAAAAGAGAAGATGAAAATGAATTAGCAGGAAGAAAAGCTATCAGAAAGTAGAAAACAGGAAAAAGAATCACAGGTGACAGTAAGAACACAGCAAGTCCCTTAGTCCCCTTTTTATTCATTATAAAAACATGTTCTGAGTGCCTCCTGCTCATCCAATGCATCTGCCAGGTGCTAGGGCCACAGAGGGAGAAAGGAGGAGAGGGAAAAGCAGTGGGCAATGACAACACCAGGTGTCACAAGCAGGTGGGCCGCGGCAGCTCCTGAGAAACGGATACGAGGGACAGGGCCACACGTCTCAAGGGCGGCTGCAGCCAAAGGCTCCATCAGAGCCAGGGGAAGAGCAGGGTGACAGCCCCGCTCCACAAGGGTAAAGTGGCTGGACCAAGCTCAGAGGGCAAATCCTCTAACCTTCTCACCTTTAGCCTCTTGCGTAGCTGGGACTACAGGCATGTGCCACACGCCTGGCAGTACTTTAAATGTAAATGGATTAAACTCTTCAATCAAAAGACAGAAATGGGCAGAATGGATAAACATGTGATCCAATTATGCTGTCTATAAGAAATTCACTTTAGATCCAAAGACAAATGGACTGAAAATGAAAGGATATATAAAGATATCCCACGAAATAGTAACCAAAGAGAGCAAGACTGGGTATACTACTATCAGACAAAACAGACTTTACATCAAAAAAGCTTCTGGAGGTAAGACTTTAATACCAAACCCTCAATAATGGATAGAAGAACCAGACAGATGATAAGCAAGGAAACAGAGGACTTAACGCAATAAACCAACTTGATCTGACAGATGCATATGAAAGTCAACAACAGAACATACATTCTTCTCAAGGGACATATTAAGCTTCAATAGATTTTAAAAGATAGCATACAAAGTATCTTTCTCAACCACAACGAAATGAGGAAATCAATAATAGAAGGAAAACTAAAAAATTCATAAATTTGTAGAAATTGAGTAACATATTCTTAAACAACCAATGGGTAAAGGAGAGATCCTAAGGTAAACTAGAAAACATGTTTAAAAAAAAACTCACTCTGGCCCAGGCTGGAGTGCAGTGGCACAATCTTGGCTCACTGCAGTCCTGACCTCCCAGGCTTAGATGATCCTCCCGTCTTAGCTTCCTGACTAGTTGGGACCACAGGTGCACACCACTATGCCCAGCTAATTTTTGTATTTTTGTGTGATGTGGTTTTGCCATGTTGCCTAGGCTGCTCCTGAAGTCCTGGGCTCAAGCGATCCTCTGGCCTCGGCTTCCCAAAGTGCTGGGATTATTACTGTGAGCCACACCTGGCCTTAGAAAACATTTTGAGACAAATGAAAATGAAAAGACAACTTTCAGGAGGCAGCAAAAGCAGTGCTGAAGAGGAAAATTTATAGTTATAAATGCTTCAATTAAAAAAGAAAGTTCTCGGCCGGGCGCGGTGGCTCACGCCTGTACTCCCAGCACTTTGGGAGGCCGAGGCGGGTGGATCACGAGGTCAAGAGATCGAGACCATCCTGGTCAACATGGTGAAACCCCGTCTCTACTAAAAATACAAAAAAATCAGCTGGGCATGGTGGCATGTGCCTGTAATCCCAGCTGCTCAGGAGGCTGAGGCAGGAGAATTGCCTGAACCCAGGAGGTGGAGGTTGCGGTGAGCCGAGATCGCCCCATTGCACCCCCCCCGGGGAAAAAAAAAAAAAACCCCCTCTTAAAAAAAAAAAAAAAAAAAAAAAAGAAATTCTCTAATCAACAACCTAAACTTTATACCTTAAGGAACTCGAAAAAAAGAACCAAATCTAAAGCTAGCAGGAGAAAACAATAAAGATTAGAGCAGAGATAAACAAAATAGAGAATAGAAAAATAGAGAAAATTGGCTGGGCCTGCTCACACCTAAAATCTCAGCACTGTAGGGGCTGAGGTGGGAGAATCGTTTGAAACCAGTTCAAGACCAGATTGGCAACATAGTGAGACCCTATCTCTACAAAAAAATAAAAACATTAGCTGTGATTATGTGTGCCTGTAATCCCAGCCACTCGGGGAGGATGGCTTGAGTCCAGGAGGCCAAGGGTGCCAGTGAGTCATATTGTGCCACTGCACTCCAGCCTGGGTGAAAACACACACACACACACACACACACACACACACACACTTTAAGTTTTGTACAGATGTGTATAAATACATATATATATATATATATATATATATATATATATATATATATTGCTGTTGCCCAGGCTGTTGGTCTTGCTGTTGTCCAGGCTGGTTTGGAGCTCCTGGCTTCAAGTGACCCTCCCAAAGTGCTGGAATTACAGGCATGAGCCACCACTTCTGGCCCAGTCAAATAATTTTCAGCAAGCGTGCTAAGACCATTCAATGGGAAAGGATAATCTTTTTACCATGAGAAATCGCCTTCAGATATTTATTTTCAACCAATGAGATACCCATTAGGATAACTCTTAGAAATAATTAGAATTATCAGTTGTCAGTGTGATAGGAAAAAAATAATAAAAAAAGAAATAATTAGAAATAAATTCGAAAAGTGAAAAATCAATAAAAAAATAAAAACATAAAATAACCAGTGTCGATGAGGATGTGGAGAAATCGGAACTCTTGTGCACTACTGGTCAGAATGTAAAATGCGCAATCTCTGTGGAAAACAGTAGCAAAGTTTCTCTAAACATTAAAGGCTTGAACAGGTACACCAGTGTTCACGAAGCATTATTCACCAGGGCCAGGAGGTGGAGGCCACCCAGGGTCTCTCAGCAGATGAGCAGATAAACAAAGCATGCTATCTATACACGACGGACTATCATTCAGTCTTGAAAAGTAAGGACGTTCTGACAAATGCTGCAACATGGATAAGCCCTGAGGACATTATGATAAGTGAAGTCAGCCAGCCACAAAGGACACATATGATGTAATTCCACTTATATGAGATACCTAGGGTAGCCAAATTCACGGAGACGGAAAGTAGAATGGTGGATGCCAGGGGTTGGGAAAGGAGGAAATAGTAAATTATTGTTCAATGGGTTCAAAGGTTCAGTTTTGTAAAATGAAAAAACTTTCGAAGACGGATGGCGGTGACGGTTATATAACAATATGAACCATACGCTTAAAAACAGTTACAATGGGCTGGACGTGGTGGCTCATGCCTGTAATCCTAGCATTTTGGAAGGCCGAGGTGGGCGGATCACTTGAGGTCAAGAGTTTGACACCAGCCTGGCCAACATGGTGAAACCTCATCTCTACTAAAAATACAAAAATCAACTGGGTGTGATGGCGGGCGCCTGTAGTCCCAGCTACTCTGGAGGCTGAGGCAGGACAATCGTTCGAACCCGGGAGGCAGAGGCTGCAGTGAGCCGAGATCGCACCACTGCACTACAGCCTGGGTGACAGAATGAGACTTTGTCTCAAAAAAAAAAAAAAAGTTAGGATGGTAAATTTTGTTATATTATGCCACAATAAAAAGACTGTATTGGAGAGGAGAAAAAGAAAAGAATGCTTGTTCAAGGTCATAAAACTAGTAAGTGGGGAGCACAGACCAGAAGGCAAGCTGAGCCCAAAGCTAGTGTTGCTGCCATAGCAATGGGGCATCTCTCCAAAGGCACTATACAGGTTCCTTCCCCTCATCAGACCTCTTTCTACAGACCCTGGTATCATTTATCAACCTCATTTAAGCAAAGGGAGAGGGTGTTCTGACAGGCCTGCAACACTGGAAAACAGGGAGCCATGGCTTGACTCTTTTTGTTTCTAGTCAAAGAAATTGAGACAGACAGCACCACGCTCTGCCAGCTACCCATCTAGTTGAGGAAGGGCGGGACTTTGTATTAGAAGATGTGTACCTGAGTCTATGAAGTTTATATGAACACACCAGAGCTATTACATTAAAAAAATTTAGGCTGGGTATGGTGGCTCACACCTGTAATCCCAGCACTCTGGGAGGTTGAGGCGGGAGGATCACCTGAGGTCAGGAGTTCAAGACCAGACTAGCCAACAGGGCAAAACCCCGTTTCCACTAAAAATACAAACTTAACCAGGCGTGGGGGCACACACCTATAATCCCAGCTACTTGGGAGGCTAAGGCAGAAGAACCTGGGAGACAGAGGTTGCAGTAAGCTGAGATTGTGCCACTGCACCCCAGACTGGGTGATAAAACGAGGCTCCATCTCAAAAATAAATAAATAAATAAATAAATAATTTAAAAAATTTAATGGCTGGATGAGCTAGGCTACCAAAGCAGAAAGATGTGAAGGCCAGTCTCTCCAAACCCCTGAGCCAAGAGGTTGTAACTGGGGGAGGGAAGGGCTGGCTCCTGGTCAGGAACATGGGCTCTGGGCCCAAAGCATCGCCAAGAGTAGCAGCAGCAGGTCAACTGCCAAGTGGGGAGGAGGAAACACCTGGATTTTCTGTCCCTTATCCAAAGGGTCAAGTGAGATGATGGGACAACTCTCTGACTTAGAGAAGTAAAAAGTGCCAGAGAAAACGAAGGTGTGACTCACGTTATTTTTGGATGAATTCTCCATTTTATAAATCTAATTCCCTTTGTTAATTGTATCTCCTAGGTCCTCCCGGTCAGCATGAATCACCTACAAATCCCTGATGGAGGTAGGGGGAGGAAGGAGGGCGGGGGGACTTTTCCTCAGTGTTTTTCAGATAATTAGGGAGGGGATCTGATGAGGAGCCTATGCAGGAGTGAGGAGAGGAGGAGGAACTGGAGAACAGAATCAGGTCGCTCCCAAACCACGCACTGCACACCTGCCTCATACACCTCTTCCAGCCTATCTGCTTATTCCTGTTTACAAAAAGAGGAAAGCGTCTCCTCTGGACCAGTGGTTCTCAACCAGAGGTGATTATTTTGCCCCGCAGAGGGTATCTGGCCATGTGTGAGACGGCAGTGATGGTCACATTGGCAGGGGGTGCTATTGGCACATGTCCGTATAGACAGTGGTGGTCAGAGATGCTGCTTAAGCTTTCTACCACACACAGGACAGCCCACCTCAACAAGGTGGCCCGGAGTGTCAACAGAACCAAGGTGGAGAAACCCTGCTCTCAACACCCCAGCCAGAGCTCTGCCTCCCCAGAACTCTGCAGAAGCAAGGCTCTGGCTATGACACTCACCAGCTGTGTCAAAGCAACAGCTCAATCTGAAATTAAACGGGCCCCTCCTCTCATAAGAGCAGACGCTTCTGGTTTCATGCTTTCCACTGGCTTCATCTGACAGAGTGGTTTATACAAAAACAGGGGCGGGGATTTCAAACTCCACAGAGATGTGCTTTCCCCACAGGCAGCCCTGAGGTCCCAGGCCCAGCCGGCCTCCTCTCTGGGAGTTAAGGCTTCGCCTCTTCACTGTGCCTCCCCTGCCACAGCACGAGGCAGGGTTTTTAATCTGCTCTCACCAGCCTAGCATGTCAGATTTGAGTTTCTTTCTTTTTTTTTTTTTTTTTAATTAAAGCCAATAAATAGTCTAGCCGCTCTCATTTTCGATGACATCCAATTTTGGTCCATCTTTTCCCCCTAATTCCAGACACCCTTAAAGGAACATGAGAGGCAGCAGTATAAGAAGTCTGCCTGGAGTCAGGTCTGTGTGCCCTGGGGCAGGTTAAGGGGGATGACCATGCTTATCCCCCAGGGATGTTGCCGTAAACATGAGTCAACGCATGCAAAGTGCGCAGGGTTGCCCTGCTGGCCGTGGCAGGCTCGAGGTGAGAGCCAGCTGTTGCCACTACTGATGCCCATGAGGGACTCGGCTCTGATTCCGCAACTGCTAAGCAAGCAGGTCAATTTCTTCATTGTTTCCATGAAAAATCACCTGGTTTCTAAATAAGCTGGAAATAAACTAGCAGCTCAAAATCAGCACTTCGTAAACAGGAGTGAAGGCAGACTCTGTCGTATAACGTCAGTGTTACCTTAAGCTGACTTCACTGTACGGTTCCTTCTTATATTTAGAAAAATGCTTTTGGAGAAATAAGGCCCAGCTAAAACACAATGAGCAAAACCTGTCTGGAATCAGAGCTGCAGTCAAACGGATTTATGACAAGCTGGCAGAGCCCAGGTGTGCCTATCAGCCCAGGTAACACTATCCATACCTTGCTCCCTGTGAGCTGTGCGAGGTGAGGTTTCAGGTCTTCTCCGATTACGGAATAAATCGCCACTAAGCAAAACACGCTGGCCTTACGCACACTACTTTCGGTGTTGTCATAACCCTAGAGAGCCAGGAGGGAACACAAAAAGGAAACCAGATCAGAGATTCATTCCACAGTCAATATCTCATCAACATCTCCACAAACGCCCTCAGAGTTCAACCTTGGACTTGTCAGTAACAACCAGGATAGACCTCAGCCCTGCAATGGAATCCAGAGAGCTTTCACCCCAAAGGGGTCACAACTTTGCATCAAGAGAAGCTTGGTTTCTGGGGTCCAGAACAGGAGGCTGGCGAGTCCCAGGCTGGTCTCTGCATCTGCACAGGCGCCACCTGTAACAAGCTGTCACCCAAGAAACATTGCAGGGGAGAGAGAATGAGACAAGGGAATGAAGGGGAAAGTTAAGTTGCTTTGTCACCATTTCTCCCAAAGGTAAAGCAAATTTCCTTGTGAAAATGCCTTTAAAGAAATGAGAACAACACTCACTTTTGTGAGCAACACCCCTCTACCCTCCACTGATTGCTGGGGAACATCTGGTGCCAGCCCCTGATGTCCATGTCCCATTTTTTTTAAGACGGAGTTTCATTCTTGCTGCCCAGGCTGGAGTGCAATGATATGAGCTCGGCTCACCACAACTTCTGCCTCCTGGATTCAAGTGATTCTCTTGTCTCAACCTCCTGAGTAGCTGGGATTACAGGCGTGTGCCAACATGCCCGGCTACTTTTTATATTTTTAGTAGAGACAGGGTTTCTCCCTATTGGCCAGGCTGGTCTCGAACTCCTGACCTTGATTCGCCCGCCTCGGCCTCCCAAAGTACTGGGATTACAGGTGTGAGCCAACACACCCGGCTGTCCATGTCCCTTTGCAGTGGACCTCCATCTACCCGTCAGCCTCATCCCGACCCACACCCGGCTGGGGCTACCTGCCGCTGTTCTCCAATCAGCGCGGGACTCTTCAGCCTCTGTGCCATTCTCTTTGTTTGGAATAATCTAGTCCCCAACAGTTATGTGTTTAATCCCCAACCCAAGCACCCAGCAAACAGCAGCATTTATTAAATATGATGCTGACTCCTCTCTACCTTTCCCCAGTGAAACTCCCTCCTTTGCCAAGGGCCAGCTAGAAACCACGTCTTCTACGGACCCTCTCCCCCCCACCCCAACCACTTCGCTACTGTCATGTGGCGCATGGCAACATCTGTAATTGTCTGCGTGGCTGCACAGTAGGCAGAAAATCCTGAGGCAGTCCACACAGTGGAACGCAGCTGCTTTCTGCCAGTCTGTCTTACTCACTGCCTCATGCTGAGAAGAGTTTCAGTAAGTATTTGTGGGCTGCATGAGACCAAGGACCATTGTTTGATTTACACCCCATGGTCCACCTCGCCCAGGGCTGGGGCTACAGCAGGTGTGCAGTAAGGGTTTGTTGAAGGAGTGGACAAAAAAATGATCAAAATATGTTTACAGTAAACAGAAAGTTCATTCTGTGAGCTGCCAGGTAAGTCTTCTTAGTGCATTCAGGAGAAGGGGTGAGCTGGACGGCTGTGAAGTGTCCCTGCCACACGGCCTCACAGGTCCCGCCTGGTTTTTCCTACCCGTCCCTGCCAGTGAAGGGGGAGCACAGAGCCCTTATATTACTTCGAGTGAGGTGGCCCACACAGCCTGGGGACAGACAACCCAACATGAGGACCTACCTGCAGCAAGCCTGGGATGATGTCGGCGAGGAGCTGCAACAACGACTCCTTGGCGATCCTCTCGACGACTTTGGTCTGCATCTTGATGGCAGCAAGGTTGATGGGATAGTCAGCCGTCTGGATGATGGGGCAGAGCACCTTGATGCACTGCTCCGGGTGGATGGAACTGGCCAGTGTGGACGCAGCCTCCTCAGCCGCTCTCACCACCTGAAACACCCAGTTTCCCCAAAGAGTGAGCTCCACATGCCGTACGAGGCAAAAGACCAGACATCACTTCTGTCTGATTTCAGAGTCCAAAAAATAACGACCTCACTCAATGTCAGATGGCAGCCATTGCTCATTTGTCTCAATTGTTAAAGTAAACAGAGGGGTTTGCAAGGTGATTTTAAAGGGGAGTGTGGGCCTCAGAAAGGCAGGTCTGAGGGATTCTGGCGAAAACCTCAGAAAAGGTACTCCACATACGGCCCCCACTCAGCCGCTCATTTGGAAACGGAACTTCTCAGGCCCACCCAGACCTGCTCACTCAGAGGTGGGCCCCAACTGGAGGAGAGGGTGCAGTGAGCTGTGTTGGTAAGAACCAGGTGATTCCTACAGACACTAAAATTGAGAACCTCTGCCCTAGAAGACTAGGACCTGAATACAGAAAGGCTTCCCAATGGCTTGTGGGACACCCATAAATGGAGCATCTGGGAAGAGGCCTGGAGGAAATCAGAGTGACTTCAATGCTGGCACTTCCTGGAAGAGGCCCACCTGCCAGGCAGCTGGGAAGGTGCAGAGAGAAGACCCTGGAAGGGTTTTCCTGAGAAGTCTCTTCTGGAAAGTTGCTCTTCTAGGACTCTGTGCTCACGATGTCCCCTTTGCCTTCCATTTTTAGGGAAGTACATGAAATGACCGTCTCATGGTCAGAGGAGCAGCCTCTGACTTCTGGAGGGCCACAAGACCCTCTTATAATAAGGATGGAAGCTAAATGCAAAACCCAGTGAGGAAGGAGGAAGACAGCAGAAGGCCTGATGAAAAAGCCTGGGCCTCAGGCTCAGGGAGCAAGTCCCAGTCACACTAGTCCCCATGCTAACACTCCATGTCCTCATCTGCAAAACAGGGATGTTTGGTGATGTCACCGAGAATGAATGGTGAGCAGTACTCAAGATACAGTAGACAGTCCGTGAAGGATGCTTACTACTATCAATGGCACAGAGTACATAAATTATACAAATGAAATATACAGACAGACACCGGGTTATACGCACATGTATTTTCTTACAAAGTACAACAGAACTCGAATACTTTTCTCCTATTGCCAGCCCTGGCTGGGCTGGTCATCCCACCCAGATTCCTCTCTGCATTATGTTCTGCTACTCAAAATAACTCAGCTCTAACTTCATACAACAAAAAGGTGAAGACTACCAGCCCACAGCTTCAGTCATCCCAGCCCTTATGATGAAGCAAGACAGGCCCATGGCAACAGCATACGGATCATCTGGAAATCCGCTTCTAGTTATGGGCATGAAGTGGGTGAAGAAGTCTGTAGAAGCCAGGGAGCGTGGGGAAACGGACAGGAAACCTACAGAGAGGCCACCTGAGCTGTGTAGCAAACAGGCCCACGCCGGGGCTCAGAGACCACACATGCTGCTTTGGGTCACTTTGAGGCCCTCACTGGGGCTCCTCCTGGGGCTCTGGCTCCAGATGAGGCTCGGCTTCACCCTCAGCCCAGGGCTGCTCTGCCCCACGAACAGGGCTCACTCCAGGGAGTGTGTGTGAGTCCATGTGTCGGCTCTGCTCTGTGGAATGGTAAAGGGAAATTTTTTCCAACACTAGACAGCCAAGTTCAGCTCATTAGCAATGGACACGTTTGGGGCCAGCCATGCTGCTGATGGTGGGTTTTTCACTACGAAGCTCCATATGAGCTTTGGCTACTCACTCCCACTACCTGGCACTCATCACTACAATACACCTGGAAGAAAGTGCACCAAGGGTTAATGCTCTTTCTCTCAGGGTGGTGAGATTGTGGATAACTTTATTTTCCTCTTCATACTTTTTAGATAGAAAAATTGCAATGAACATTAGGTTGGTGCAAAAGTAGTTGCGGTTTTTACCATTACAATATAACCTTTGTAGCAAGGAAAATATATTCCAGAAAATCAACCTGAGCTGTTTGAGGCCAGGGAAAGCTGGCAGCCCAGCCCTGGCTCAGGGTGGAAGGTGGCAGGGTGGTGCACCTGAGCAGGCTACACCTTGTTCGTCTTCCTGAAGGGAACCCCACCCCAGCATACGGGAGGTGCTCTGCGGCGAAGCCAGAACAGTCATCATGACTATTCCTCCTGAGCTCCCACCATCTCCATGAAACCCTTCTGCTGAACTACAAAACTCACTGTCCCTCAGGTGTGGCTGACACACGTGCCCCAGCCCCTCCCCGGGCCTCCCTATCAGACTGGTGACACTTTCCCCCAACTTCTGTTCTGTCTGTGACACTCATATGGCACCATATGCAGATGGCTTTGTATTTTTGGTGTTATTTCCGTGCATGTTTCTACTTATCAAACAGCCAGGAGCTGGAATGTTTCCGTTATACCTAAGCACCCAGGAAGCTGGGCATTTACCAGGAGTTTAGTGCTTACTGATGGACAGAATTCATTCTCCTGTCTGAGAATATGTCCCACTTAAAGAGGTCCTACCTCCCTCAATTCTTTCTTGTTGGAGGCCTTTTGTACTTTCTCCGGGAGGACTTGCTAAGTCCTTACAGCACTGAGGAAAGACCAGGATTCTCATGAAATAAGGTCACCACATCCATCACCACGTAGCCAGCACCCTAGAGTGGCCACAATGCAGCCACCTGGCTGGGATTATGTATGAATCCGCGATGCAGGCCCGGATCAGGATGGCTTAAGGGTAACTACTGGGTACAGGTCAGGGCACCTAAGATTCACCTGTACTCACTATGTATGTGAAGGTCAGGCTTAAGGACAAAGCACTGTAGAAAGGGAATTTTATTTTAAAAGTCACGTCCAACTCTCAAGCACCTCATGAGTCTTTCCTCTCATTTGTGCTCTGTGTGCACGTCTATTCACCCCGCACTGACCAGGTGCCTCCTGTGTGTCAGGGACTGAGCTCCAGCTCAGGCCACAGAGCTGAGAGGGACTGGCCATGCTCTCGTGGTTCAGGGCAGGGTGAGGGTAGTCTATGCAGAGGGACAGCGCGAGGGTGCAAGGCGCAGGAAGGAGCCAGATGGCAGAGACCTGCTGCCTGATGTACTTCCTGTGGGTGGCCAGGATTAGACAGGAGGAGGCCGGTGAAGGGCAGAAAAACAATGGATGTGTGCAGGAGGCTTCTCTGGTGTTCTGCAGGCCTTCCTCCAGCTCAGGGGCCCTCGGCCATGCACAGCCAGCCTCCCTTGCTTGCCTCATCCGGGCACCTCAGTAGCAGACCTTCCCTTGCCAGCCAAAGTGTTAACGTAGACCCAACATTTACGACATCTCACTCCATGTCACAAACATGCAGGAAGGGGACTATCTGAAGGAAGCCCACTGGGATTTCTTTTTCTTGCCAACTCAAACTCCTGCCAAAAGTAGCTTTTTCCACACAGGTCACCTGAAAGCACCCTAATGTGTACACGTGACCTTAAAGTTTTTCACCCCAACAAGGGCAGCCTCCAGAGTTAGAGGAACACTTTCTCAGCATCTGGGAGAAGTACAGGAGTACCGGATTGATCTTCGTTCAATCCTCTGGCAAAAAACTTCCTTGGTCTCGGCTTCCATTTTTTAATCAAAACTCCTAAAATGAGGATTTTAAGGCATCTACTTTCACAGTTATCTGAATTAAGAGACAGAAGACGTAAACCAGCTTGGTATATTTTAGCTATACAACACACGATGGCTAAGCCAGAGACGGAGGCTCACACCTGTAACCCCAGCTACTTGGAAGGCTGTGCTAGGTGGATCACTTGAGCCCAGGAATTTGAGACCAGCCTGGGCAACATGGAGAAAACCCATCTCAAACAAAAGCAAAAGCAACAAACAAAACAAAACACAAACTAGGTGTTGGTGGAGGACTGACACCAGAGTGGAGCTCAGCAGCAGAGGTGCCACCAGAAGGCACAGCAGCTGAGCCGGGAGCTCCCGAGTTGCTGGAGGTAGGGGGGAGGGGGGCAGAGCTCTGTGACCCTGAGACTCCACAGAGGACCAGTCACCACACTGAATGTTCTAAGAATGGGTAATACTGGTAAGCCAGCTCCTTCCCTGAGGTCCAGTGCCAACATCACGATGAGTCTTTCCTCTCCAATGACCTCTAAGATGCCCAAGTTTCCTCAGGAAGGCCTGGCTCCTTCCTGCCTGCGTGGTCCTTCCTCTCCCTTCCAACACCCTGCCCAGCCATGTCTCTATGCCCCTGGCCAAGTTATCCTGAGAACTCACTCACCTCAACACAGCTCCCAGGAAGCCTCATCATGTGTACGCTTTATCACTGCAGGTAAATAGTTTGCTGAAATTGTCTCTCCCACTAGACTAAAAGTTCCTTGAAAGCAAGATCCTATCTCAGCCATCTTTTTATCTCCATGCCCGGCACAGGATCCAGTATACATACACCAGGTGTTCAATAAATAGCATCCAGTATACATACACCAGGCGCTCAATAAATAGCTGTTGAATTAATTTCCCCATAGCACGTACATGCATGCACTCTAGAGCGCGCGTGCGTGCGCGCGCGCACACGCACACGCGCACACGCACACGCACACACACACACACACACACACACACGGTCTTGCTCTGTTGCCCAGGCTGGAGTGCAATGATGTGATGGTGTGATCATGGCTCACTGCAGCCTCAACCTCCCGGGCTCAAGAGATCCTCCTACCTTAGCTTCCCAAGTAGGTGGGATTATAGGCACATGTAATACTGCAAGATTTTTGTAGGGGTCTCACTATGTGAGATGGCGTCTTGCTATATTACCCAAGCTGGTCTCAAATGATCTGCCCACGTCAGCCCTCCAAAATGCTGGGATTACAGGCATGAGCCACACACCCAGCCCAATGTACATATTTTTAACGTTCATGACTCACAAAGTCACATCTGGAGCATGCCACATTGACATGGATTTACACTTTTCCTAAGAAGCTAGCATAGAAAACCAGGAGCAAGGCAGGGTATCTACAAATGATCAACTTGGACTGTGGAAAAATCAACTATACAAGACCCAGAGAGTCCCATTCCAGG